ACGTCCAGGACCTTTTATGGACGTTTTTAAGACGTCCATTATTGGACATACTCCGGATGTCCAGAAAAAGACGTCTTTAAAACGTCCAATTTACAGACTCCCACGGTATATCAGTTTAAATCGATATAAGTAGGTAGGTATATATTAATTTTAAAATTAGAATTATTGAATTGAATATGGACATAAATGATGTCAGAAAATATATTATATATCAGCTGTATCAATATATTGAATTTCATTTTATTAATAATATTATGAATTTGAAATATTTATGATTTGAACTGATTTGAACCTACTTATATAGTTATGTTGAATTATATTACTTCAATCACATAATACCTATACAGTTTGACCATTCTTAAACCCACACTGGAGTATTCATACTAGCCGCGCTTTCATAATAAGATTTGATTGAATCACTGAATATGTAAAGCAACAGTAGAACGCATGCGTGCTCAGCGTTGCCAGTCTTACTATTTTAGCAGTAGATCTACTGTTTTTGTCTCCGTTCTACTGTTCAACTATTCAAGGCAATGGTCTGATTGGTCATGTTTTGATATGACATAACTACCTAATATGCAACAATGAAAAATTAATGGGACATCACAGTAAGAAGTTGTATGATAAAAATATACTGCAACTATCATATTTAGTCTGATTAGTAAGAATTAACTTTTATTTCCAATCTGGTTGCGGTTTTTACAAATTTTATTTTTCATTTCATTATTTTTTGTTATTCTTCGTTCGATTTTTGATAGGTATAGAGATCGAACATGATTTTTTTCTCGTTTATTATATAGGTGACTATGTTTTTTCATTTATGATAGCAAATTGTGATGATTATCAAAATCTTCTGTTCAGTTTTGATGATCTACTGTTTTTTTCCACCCATCTATTGCTCCGACAAATTGTCATCCGGCAACACTGTGCGTGTTACGTGAAACGACAACGTGAGAAAGCGCGTCTGTCAGTTGACCACTGCCGAGTGCCGATTAAACTGTGATTCAGGTCCAATGACATTCTGAACTTTCCTGGTTATTTGACTGTAAAAGCAGTGAATAAGTGAAATCTTTGCGGATATCATCTATCAACTGGTGAACTTCGATCTCGAGTTCCATCGAGATGTTTATTTGTGCTAACAGCAGCATGAAGGCAAGTATATGGCTATCGACGCTATCGTTTTATTTTCATTCGCTTGAAGATGCTTGAGTTAAGAACATCAAATCTGGAGTTGAAAATATTAGATACCTTTATAAAAAATTTGATCTCATGCAAAGCTCTACCTAATCCTATTTCCATCATCTACAAAAGTTTATATTTTTGTACATATAGTTAAAACATAATATAATTCGTGCAAGGTTCATAGAGGTTATATAGGTACCTACCTAAGAATCAGTTTATGTTTGGAATAAGTTCTCAATGTGGGTGTGTGTTTATGGTTTATGGTATTCACAGAAGATGTTATTGAATATTATTATTATTTACAGATCCAGTGAAGAAGACAACAGATGGCTGCCAATCAGAGAAAGACATCATCGCGCCTGCGTACCTGGATGAATCACGCGACGTTTTTAGTGGTGCAGCTGCTGATATACGATATGGAAGAGTGAAATTGAGACAACTCCCTGTATCTCTGTTTATATTATTTTTTGCGAATAAATGTTTAGTAATATTCAAGTATTTCACTCTTCAGATGGGTCAGAAAATCAATAATCAATATTGTCTGAATGTCCTCAATACGTCCATTTTTCATACCAAAAAGGTCCTAGTCTGGACCTAAACTGGACGTCCTCAAAACATCCTGATTAGTAACAATGGACGTCCCCAAAACGTCCATAAGACGTCCGTCGTCCGGAAATGGACGTCCCCAAAACGTCCTGAATGTCCAGAGTGGACGTTTTTAAAACGTCCATAAGACGTACTTGTGCTGATTGGGTACGTACTTTTTTCACGTTCATTCAACGTTTTAAAATCACGTATGAAGTCTGTTAAATCAGTTATACAATGACAACTATATTTTTGAGCAACCTTTATTTTGACGTTTCAATTACTATACTCTGTTTTACGTTCATTAAACGTTTTGAGAAAACGTGTATGACCCGTTGAATAATTTTTCAATAGCAACTACATCTTTGAGCAACTTTTATTCCCCGTTCTAATCACTACTTTTATCACTTTTATTAAACGTTATGAAATTACGTGAATGATTCTTCCAATGAATTATTCGATAACAATTTTATTTTTTTCCAGTTTCAAATTAATATATTATACTTTTTTACGTTCATTGAACATTTTGAAATTAGGTGTATGATCAGGTGATTGAATTATTCAATAGCAACTATATGCTTGAGGAACCTTTATTCCACGTTTCATACACTTTTTTCTTCACGTCTATTAAACGTTATGAAATTACGTGTATAATCCGTTGAATGAACTATTGAATAACAACTATATTTTCGAGCAACCACGTTTCAATTTCAACTTTTTTCAACGTCCATTGAACGTTCTGAAAATACGTGTTTGATTCGTTGATTAAAGTATTCAAAAGTATTCGTATTGAATGAATCTGAACTATCGGCAGTCCGCTACCGCCACTCTCCAGTATGCTCACAGTTTGTCTGACGCTATCACGGTTAACAGTTCATTGTGATTCTTCAGAGGTTATGTGTGGATGTGAAAAGGTATGTGATTGGTGAGTACCCACTTAATTATTGACTTCTATCGACGTATTGTGCAAATTTCGAATATTTCCAATCGAAGAAAATCTATCAAAAGCATCTTTTATGACGATTTTGCAAGACAAAATGTTAGTATTGATTGTGAGCTCATTAACTATTCCATCTTGGAACAATTTGCTGCATATTTTTCAAAACAAACCTGTGGGTTTTCTGGCTTTGGGCGAACTCAGCAGAGCCATTTTTGAAAATAAAATATTCTCCACTGATTTGATAGATCGATATTGGAAGGCTAATTTCAGGCTTATTCATTACCCTATTTTTGAATTTTTTGCTTAACGTTTCATGCAAAAAAGACGAAACGATTCGTCGAAATACGCGGTTATTCAGTATACATTATGCATCTATCAAAAGCATAATATTTTATGACGATTGTTCAAGACAAAGTGTTAGTATTGATTGTGAGCACAATAACTATTCCATTTTGGATTTTTTCGATGCATATTTTTTAAAGCAAACCTGTGGCTTTGCTGTCTTCGGGCGAACTCAGCAGGGTCACTTTTAAAAATAATATTTTTTTCACCGATTTGATATATCGATATTGAAAGGCAAATTTAAGACTAATTGATTACCCTAATTTCGAATTTTGTGCTCAACGCTTCGAAGCAAAAAAAAACACCAAACGATTCGTCGATATTATGCGTTATTCACTATACATCATGCATTTCTATCAGAAGCATATTTTATAAGGCAAAGTGTTAGATTGTTAGCTCAATAACTATTCCATTTTAGTGAATTACGAATCGTTTCGTTTTTTTTGTTGTTCGAAACGTTGGGCACAATATTCGAAAATAGGTTAATTAATTACGCTGAAGTTGCCCCTCAATATCTATATATCCAATGAGTGACAAATATATTATTTTCAAAAATGGCTCTGCTGAGTTCGCCCGAAGCCAGCAAACATACGTTTCTTTTAAAAAATATGTAGCAAAAAATTCCAGAATGGGATAGATATCGAATTTACAATCAATACTAACACTTTGCCATATGAAATCGATATAAAATATGCTTTTGAAAGAAATACATAATGTACAGTGGATGACGCGTATTTCGACAAATCGTCTTGTATTTTTTCTCTTTGAAACGTTGAGCAAAAAATTCGAAAATAGGGTAATTGATTAGTCTAGAATAAGCCATTCAATCTCAATATATTGAATCGGTGAAAAATCAATGTTTTCAAAAATGGCTCTGCTGAGTTCGGCCAAACCTAGCAAAGCTACAGATTTTTCTGATAGAGCGGTGCGTGAAAATTTTGGCATAGGGAAATGAATAAGCCTAAAATGAGCACTGCATTTTTATTATATAAGATCATCAAAAAATATTGTTTTTAAAAATAGGCTTTGATGAGTTCGGCCGAAGCTAGCAAAGCAACAGATTTTTCTATGATAGAGAGGAGCAGAAAATTCGGAAATGGGGTAATAAATGAGCCTAAAATGAGCCTAAAATTATGAGATGTGTTACATGTTGAACATCGAAAGTATAGCTTCGTTAGCTTCTTCAGTATGTTTCCAAGTACTTAGGTATGTTCTCCAAAAGTTATAAAAAAATTCAATACCTACCTCCTCTCCCTATCCTCCTTAGATGAGAATTCCCTTCCGTGCGCTCCTAGCTAAAAAATAAATACATTATTCCATATTTAGTATGTATCGCTCTAATTTCGAAAATATCCTGTAGATAATATAATCATCATACGTATACCTATTGGTCAATTATCAAAAATGTACAAAATATCTAATCACCAGCGTCAAAAATCGAGTAGGTACTGACAAAAGTTCAAAATATTAGTAATTATGAGACCATTTGACTGTCTTCGATGAATAATCAACCGGTTGTCAGTGAGCGGCAAAAAGTAATCAAAACGGTGTCGCGCTACTTTATGTTCGGTGTCCTCGACGTGCCGCTCGATGAACATAGGGATTCCAGCTTTCTACGAATTCTTCAGGTTGATCCCGCCCCTTTCGACGGGGAAGGGATAAGACAGAAAACTGATGAGATTCGAATAATTTCGTGTGGCATATGGCCTCTTAATATTCCGTTGTCACTCGAAATTAGGGCTTTCCATCTTCATCATTATATGTATATTTTCGGATGAGTAACCGACAAAAATTATGACTGACTCCTAAGATGAATTATAGGCAAACGATCACAATACGTCATACAATGGGCCGACGTTTGACCAGTGCAGCTTGGCCATGGTCAGCAATCTGCTGTATAATGTACTGGGCCAGAAGGCGGCGGCCAGAGATTTGATGTTAGCTGGAGTTATATCTTTCTCACTTCAAGAACGAATGAAAAATGTAATTTTTATTCATACAAACAAAATAAAAAATTCATAGTATATATCCAATTAGGAACTATTAGGTAGATGAAATCCAGTTCTCTACAGTCTCTTTGTAGGTAGACAACCATCTTATATTGTTCTGAACAGTTTCTAAGGCTTTGGCACGGCTAGCTTTTCCAGCTCCCGCTTCTGGGTATTTCTCGAAGAACGTTTTCATCTAAAAATCACAAGAATATGAAATGGACTCAACATATTAAAATTGCGTCTAACAGAAAAATATACATGGTATATTAAATATCGAAGGCCATTCTTGAGGATGTGAGAGGAAAGCTTATTTGGATTGCATTTGGCCATATACATATACATTAACATAAATCTCTGATCATACAACATACACATGGCACTTTGGATAATTATGTGGTTTTAATACTATATAGTATTTCTGAACCAGCAAAATGAACCATTGCGAATTGATGAATGACACTTATATGAAAAATATTGTTATGATGATAATAATTCACTATCGTGATCGAATATCGTTGAAATAGGACTTGAACTACCTACTCGTAAAATATCTGTGAATTTCATTCAATTTCAATTGGTCAATGCACCCAAGATGAAGGAGTCGATGAGAGGTATCAAATACGGATATCTCAATAAAGGACATGCGAATGTTTCATCTCATTCTGCCTATAAAATTTCTCGAAAAAACGTTATTGACATAATGTATTTGAATTGAAGTGGATATCTGTTATTTTGGAAAATCCCGACAAGCAATTAGGGCGAATCATTTTGGAAACAAATGATGCAATTTTCCTCGTTCGGCCGTTCATTCTATTCGCAAAAGAATATCATTTTTTAGACAACTGACGATTTGATCGTGAAAAAGGTTGAGATTCGACTAACAGACTGGGTGCTAAAATTTGATTCATGCTAGTGGAGTCTTTTGCTTAGAGGTCTTAGCAAATTCGTTTTCAGTTTGTACGCTTGCAGTTGTCAAAATGGACAAAAAACTGAAAAAGCTAGATAGTTTCACTCATCGAATCAAGGGAACTGAGGAAATGCCTGATCACTTTGGAAATGAACCCACAATCAAGGCACCAAACAGATTACGTAGGAACTCCAGTACTGCTCACTCCGTACGCACGCCAGTGGATGGCCTACAGCCTACACATTCCACATTCATAAGCTGAACACGTCACCATGTCCTAATCAAATATGTAAATACACGAAACATTTGATGATACTATTATGATATATTGAATCGAAATCACCAAGCATCAATGTCATCAAAAATCGCCGACTCGGCTTCACTTCGTGATATGTAGATAGCCTAGGAAGGGGCATTTCCTTAGTTTTCACAATTCGTTGGTGTAATATGTGAATTTTCATTATCATACGATATTATTTGTCGAAGTGACTATCCATTGTACTAGTTTATAGAACAGATAAACACGCTCTGGTATCTGTTAGAAAGAAATATTAACTGGGGTTGAGGTAACATGATTTATTGATTTCGTTTGATTCGGTCGCAAATAAAAAGAGATTCAAAATGAGGACGAAATGCTCAAAGTTGTCTCCAAAATTATTCAATTATGTTGTTCTAAACTCAAGGATATTTTTATATCTCAGAAAAGACCATATCTTCAGACTAATAAAAGTTGATGAAGAAGCTGAACATGTCCCTGATGAGTATATAACAACATAATTGAATATTTGTGGTGACGACTTCAAGCATTCCTTACTCTTGAAACATTAGCACTCCACTTTGAGCAATATGGACTCTTTTCCACTGCAGATAAAAACAGGTTTGTTTTATTTCAAGAAAATATGAAATATTCGAACAACTCAATAACCTCGAGATTCTGTATTATTGCTTGTTTGGCTTGATGCAATCAAAATCAGTTCTTTTTTCACCTTCGTAACACCTGTAACCGATTTTTGGAATACCCTGTATATATCACTGGGTAATATTTTTCTGAGAGAAGAGGCAGTAAGAGTGATAGTTTCCTGAAACTCGAATGCCATTCAAGTTATCATCATATTGAAAGCCGCGAAACATATGCAGGAAGAACATATTATAATTTCAAATATACGCATATATTTACTCAAACGATGATATTTTACCTCTGTTATTTTTTCTTCAGTAGCAAATCTTCCTGTGATTGCTGGTATTAGAGATCCAAGGTACCGATCGTTCAGAGTGAATCTATTGACTAAATATTCCCAATTGTTTCTGACCCATTGCCATACTAGCTCGGTACCAAGAGGATTGATGGAGATATATTGCAGTACCGTGAAATAATCTTGACCTCTTACTACGTTTTCGTCCTTGGCAAGATCGATGAGTCTAGAAAAATATCGATCATATATTTACTGGAAGTTTCATAAAAACACTGTTGATGACAAGGTGAACAAGGAACAATAGTTAAGTACTCAAGTGGAAAATTAATTCTATTTATTCATATTCATGTGGAGCAACTGATAATGTCGATATATCCCAGGCAACCAGATGATGAACGTCACACACCAATTTATGACGTCACTATGACGTACTTTTTATGACGTGATAATCACGTCATCGTTTCGACGTCGAGTGAACGTCACTTAGATGGGTAAAAAAAGACGTCAGTTTCATATGACGTTGCAGGGACGTCCTGTCGACGTCCATTTTTCTCAGACCTTCTCTAAACCATGGATACTTATATATCATCATGTGAAACAGAAGTATAACTCATGAAAGCAAATCAACAAGCAAGTTGAATTCTAATTATCAATATACTCGAAAAGTAGTAGAAAAACTGTTTTCTAAAAAACTTTTACACACTGTATATCTCGGAAACCAACAAGGTATTTATATATGAAAATGATTGTTTAGGTATACCTATATTGAAACCGTTACTTTTATGACGTCGCAGTGACGTATCTATGACGTCTGAAAATCACGTCGGTGGGACGTACCAATTTGGTGAACTTCGTCATTTAGTAAATTTTTCAATAATTTGCTATTTGGATTTTTATTGGGTGACAAAGAATGCATCAATATACATTATTCAACAAAGTGGAGCTAAATTCGCCATTATCTACCAGTTCCACATATTATTACGTTACATTAAGTTGATATCTTCTGAGAAAATACACTGAAACATTGCTTGACGATGAAGCTTGGGGATTCGGCAGTAAATTCACGTTGATATAGATCAATATAACCGAAAAAAAAATGATTATTCAAGTTCACCTGGATAATTGTATCAAAATATATCTTACCCAGTCAGTATCGTGACGTTTTCTGTACTTGCTAATCCCCTCATTAATTTTAGTTTCTCATTGGCATCGCTTTCTTGTTTGTATATTTCCAAAAGTTCATTCCATACACTTTCATTAGCTTTCTTCATACCTACAAAATTCAATATCATTCGATGTTCATCTTGAATTTCTCAACAATATTTACCATAGTTGTAAACTAGCCCCCTCAAATCTTGGGATAGTTGACCCTTAGTTGATATCCAGTTATTGAACTGATTCTGAGCTTCTGTCAGACAATTTTCATGATCAGCTGCACATGCCAGGTTGAGCACCTCGATCCTCGCCAACCTATTGAATTAATCAAAAAAAATAATAATTGTTATCGTATTATGTCTAAATATATTCGGAATTATGATTTCAAAACATTAAGATGTTAAGAAACATCCCTTTTTAAGATCAGCTCCAAGTTTATTGAGCTTTGATCGCATGTCATCCACGAAATATATTTGAATGAGGATTTGCTACGCTACACTTTGATGCCAGGTGGATTGTCTCCACTGAACCGATTTCATTCTTCAGCAGACATGATATGGCCAGCTTAGTCGATCTAAGCAATTTGAAGGACAAGTACTGCTTACCTCCTTAGGTGACTGTCATTCTCATTTTCGGACCATGTGAAGTTTTTATAAGCAGGTGTGCAAATCTTGCCAACATAATCCTGAAAAAAAATTGAAATTCAATGCTTTCAGGATGAGTGAAAAAACAATAAAGAGCCTATCGAATTCTGCAAAATGTAATTAATACATCTGAAAACAATAAGCGTGAATGAATGTATTTACCTTGAATTTTTCTTCTTGTGCTGAATTCGAGCCTGTTAAATATCTGAGTATGGACAATAATTTAGTTGAAGCTACGCTCCAAGGAACATAATCCATTTCTTTGTCCAAATTCTTGGTCAGTCCTAATGGGATTTCATAACTCAGTTGACCAGCTTCGGCAACACTAAATGACTCTTCGAGGATATGAGTTCTGTCTGCGACGCTTAGTGAATGATAGTTACTATTCAATTCATCCCATTGCTGTGATGGATAGTTCACTCGGTAGTATCCCACTTGATCGTGATTGAACTTGATCCACTTAGCTTCTTCAGGTTTCTTGATCTTCACTGAAATCGGTTGCAATTCATTGTATGTTTTCAATATCCTTCGAGAAAACTCAAAAAACATGATAAAAAAGTTAGGTACTCACATTTATCATCATTGTATTTAAAGAGAATCAGGTCTTGCGATTTCCCTAGGTCTGTCACATACGTGATAGGAACAGTCCATTTGTACCTGAAAATTGTTACAGTCTGCATATATCTATACTAACTGAGAATGTTTGGTATGTCCAGACTATTTATCAACAGGTAAAAGCTGGATTATTTGGCAGGAGTTGAACTTGAAAGTATTGATTTGACAACGTCGCGAAGCTATACTTGCCAAAGTATGTTATCGTCAACTTTTTGCTTTCTCATCAAAATCTTTAAGACCCTTATAGAACAATGTTCTTATGCCCAATGAAAATGAAAAATATACTTCCATTCATGACTAATAAGAGATGCCAACTTTGCAGAATTTGTTTAATGTCATGTTTTTAACGAATGTTGTGATAAAAAATATTTTTTGATCAATCGGATCGCCATGTGAAAATTCTGATAAGTGCCGTGAAAGCAGCTTTTTCACATCTGTCTCGTGAAAATATCTAACATAACCGAAATCAAGTTTGACACCACATATATCTTATCGTAATGGGATCTCCAGAAGAAATATAGCAAGTAAGTGAACTCACTTATATGTAGACTCCGATTCATCGAAAGTTGCATTTGGATCTTTCAGGAATCTCTTCTGCGTGAACGTATATTCATTTCCGGAAACAGTTGCAGTCAAAATCGGATAGCCCATCTGTACAGTGAAAGTTTCCATCATCTGGGCAACGTCCAATTTGTTTCCAACCACTGATTGTATTTCAGTTAGGAAGTCTTTGGTAACTGCATTTGAATAGGCGTATTTGTCTAGATAGTTCTTCACTCCTTCTTGAAAGTTCTTTTCGCCAACAGTGGATTCCAACATTCTCAAGATAGAGGCACCCTAAAAAACGGAATTGTCAAGAATTCATTCAAGAAGTCGTGTATTCAGACTCGATCTCTGATTCATTGCATTGGGTCTTCCAGGAAACAAAATTGATAATAATAATTGAAGATGATTTGCGTAACATAATTTGGTGTAGTTCATTCATTATAGCAGACCATCTATCCTGCGAGCACAAACATCCCTGGGATGTTTTGGAATAGTTTCAAAATGGCGGCAGAGAGGTCTTTGAAGAATATTGGAGTATTGTTTTCATCCGTCTGTGACATTCCTTTGTTTGCCTACTGAAAGGTATCCCTGGGATGTTTCAAAAATTTAGGCATCAGGAAGTTTTTTTGAGACGTATAATATGCTCTTCCCAAAGAGGTCTTCGAAGTTAGTTGCATTTCTTTGTTTTTCTACTGAGAGGTATTAGAGAAACAAAAATAATGTTAACATGTGGATGTCATTTCTAGACATAATAAAGCCTGCTTTGAAAGGTTTCTTGCAGATATTCAATAAAGATTCAATTTCCAGTTTCATAATGGTACTCGACATTTTTTTCAATAACTCCACCATTTTACATACATTTGAACTTTATTCATGTGGATTATGAATCTCAACTATTTTTCCCGAATTTCCAACACCCTCTAGGTTGTCTACACCCGCTAAGAGAGAACTTGAGCAGGGTTTGGGACCGAAACCATATAACACACGTGCATACAATGGATGTCCGATGTATGTCCACAATGGACATTACGAATATCCATTGGACGTCCGATTATGTCAGATATCCATTTGCCACGAAATTGGACATCCAATGAATGCCCATTTCGATCCAGATGATGGACATTCCTTGAAAGTACGGGATTAGAACCAGGGAACTTTTGGCTTATCAAGCAGGTACGCTTCTCCACTGGTCATTATGCTTCTTGCGAACTTCTGTTTATTTATAATAATAATGATTTCAAATACTCAAAGGTCAAAGCAGATGGCATGACTGGTCGGGTTGAAGGTACATAATGTCTGCTGTCAATTTCTATTCATTCATTTGCCGGGGTGATCGTTTTCACTGAACTTCAGCTTCTATTTGAGAATATTTCGAAATTTAAGAAGAACACCAATTCCTACCTAATTTCCCTTGGTTCTCACGATGTTCTCTGAACATTACAGGATATTCCTTTTCGTGTGAACCAGAACATAAAAAAAATGAGGATCTCAGTTATATTGAAAGATAATATGAAGTTGGTTGAATTAGGAAAAAGTTACGCACTTTTGTGCTATTTTTTTAACTCTTGGTGCGCACGGAAGGGAATCCCTATAATGTTCGTGGAACACCGTGCGTGACTTGGGTGGATAGGGAGAGAAGGTATAGGTATTTATTGCATTTCTTTTAACTTCTAGAGGTTATGGAAATACTACCTTTGGCAAAGAATTCCAAATCTTTGCAGTTTTATAGACGAAAGAGTTTTGGAAAAGGGTTGTTCAAAATATTGGTTGACGACAAAAGGATGTGCTGACTGGGGCTGTCGAGTAAGTATGATTTGAGTGATGGGATGATATATCAGAGATTTCTGAAGAAGAGTTTTCGTGGAAGTATCTATAGAAAAGGGTCGCCGACTTTCTACGATGATATAAAAAAGTATATATAGACATATCATTTTTGATTTTTCAAACATCGCCAGAACAAGATTTTTCAATTAGTGTTTTTATTATTGACAACAGGAAACCAATCGAGTTGGCCATATCTGATCAGAATAGTTATAACGGTTCAAAACAAACGATTTTCAATAGGAATTCAACGGAACAGCTATAGGGTTTAATCTTCATACCCGCTGAGATAATTGCACTAAATCATCTGCATCGTTGAGAATTGTTAATGACAATTTCGAAAACTAATTTTATCCGAATATGGAATTCAATATAAAAGTTCACATCCGAGAAAACTTTCAACTCTATACTTATCTAAATTCACTAATAATTTTAATATACGCCAGGCAAATCGTACATAGAAAATTGATGAAATCGGAAAGCGTGTACTAGTTCTGTTGTTCTGATAAATTGTTGTTATTGTTGTCGTATCTCAGTGATGTCATGTCGCCTATGTGTATGCTTATGTACATCGCTGCGATGGAACGTTTGTGATATCGCACTGTTACATAAACGCGACATCTCAGAGATGTTATGTCACAGATGTGTGGGCTGGGCTGTCGTTTTCTCAGTTTTAATACCTTCTAGTCGAAACGGAGAACACAATACTGATCATTGAAGCGTCGTTTATTGGAATCATTGAGGAGTCAACCACACTTTCGTTGCAAGAAAGAGTAGCCTAGCGACGCAATCATTCTGCGGTTTCGGTACGCTTGAGGGCTCCATTTTCAGGAAATCAGTCAAAAATTACTAATACTGTCTTGCCAAAGTGGTTCAATGTGTAGGTGATATAGCCACTGCTCTGATAGGATTGAAAAAAAACTCGGTGAGACACATAGAGTGGAGAATCGAATGCGACTGGAGAAGGAACGTCCGTTCCATGATTTCTGAGAGATACAGCCCTTTCACACACTACCTAGGAACAAAAATGCCATCGTCCTCAACAGAAAATCATTTTCTTTAGAATTTTCTGCATTTTTCCTACGTCAAATGCTCACAAATTGATATTACAAATTCATAGGCTCATTTCTTCAAAAATCCAATTTTCCAATTTGTTTTTTTCACAATTAACAAAAACTATCAGATCCAGAGCCTTTCTTTTGTGTTCTAATGGAAGCCATAAAATTTTACTACAACCTTGTTTCGAGAGCTCTTTCCGTAGGTTGAGTGGTTACGTCGATATTCCGTCCGAAACAGAAGCAAAAATTGAAATTTTTATTTTCCATAAAATTCGCAAATTTTTGAAGTTCTATATCTCGAAAACAATCGAACGTACAGAGTTGCACTCAAGCTGAAATTGTTGAAAATTAATTTCACTCCAAACATTGTAATGACATTCTTTATCGGAAAATGCATAGTTTATGAATTACAACGTAACATCTGAAAAAATTCCGAATATTTTGCCGCTTTTGACGTATAACGCAATGAGCTCAGGTTTTTCAAAGCTGCAAACTTGGGTTGACACTACTCCAATTCGCCCTTACAGCATTTAAAATGATCAGAACTTCATCACTCCTTGCGAATTTAATGTCTTATTCGACTGACCTGAATATATCTAATCAAAATATTACTCATAAAAGTACATTATCAACGAGTCAGAGGATTACTCGCGAATAGATCAATTGTCATTTCGATTGTTTTCGAAAATATTCCAAATATACAGTTTCGGGTAGAGGCAACTTGATCTGAACTTACTGTCAATTTTTTTTGGTGGAGATTTCCTTACAAAACTCACCTTGTTGTAGGATATAGTGTCGAATATCTCAGTGATTTGGTCAGGTGTCAAGACAGTTTGAACTATGGGATGGGAACTGAGCGTTGCATCCAAATTCAGTACAGAGTGAAGATCACCAGTCAAAAATTGGTCCAACTGAGAAGACAAAATATATTTCGTGATGTAATCATATTCTTCAAAATTCTCACCATTCCCCACGTTGGCTCAGCCGCATTTGTACCTTTATATTCTATGTAACTTGCGAACCCTTCGTTTAACCAGAGATCATTCCACCAATCCATTGTCACTGAGAACAAACACGAGATTAATTCAATCAATGTATCGATCTTATATTGAATTATACAATCTATGGACGTATCCTTCATTGCAATGTGAGTTAAACAATAAAAGGAATTAATACATTCTCCATTCTCCTCTTTGAGCTTTTCTTCTTTCTTTCGAAAAATCTCACTCCACTTTGAGCAAAATTTGGACATCTACCAGAGATTTGATTTTCTTGTCCAATATTCGACTCAAAATATTTATGATCATTTAAATAAAAACACATAAATATTATATAAACCATTATGTTGAATGAACAATGAAATATATAGGGAAGACAGATGATTCTGTATCTTTACAAGTATTTCTCACCCAGATTTCCAAACCAACTATGGGCCAATTCATGTGCCACAACTGTAGCAACTCTTTGTTTATTAGCAGAAGAATGGGTTGTTCCAGTGTACAGCAAAGCTGTTTCTCTATATGTTACTAAGCCCCAGTGCTCCATAGCTCCAGAAACGAAATCAGGAATTGCCACCATATCTGTAGGAGAGAATATAATGCATATACAGTGTGTTCCACACCACTCTTCATTTGATTGAACGATTTATAGAAATCAGGTAATTTGATGTTATATCATATCATAATATCAAAAGTATGTTCGAGAACCATTGAAATAAAAAATGGGAATTGGAAATGATCTAGCATTCTTGCAAATTCTTCTAGAACACTCATTCAGTAGTTCTTTTGTATTTACTATACACACGATGTTAATTGTACAAGAACTATCATTCCACGAGATGATAGCTTGAAATATCTTGATTATCAGGAGTTGATAGTTCCAGTATCCATGAATTCCCCAATAATTAATTTATTGTACGAACATATCATGTTCCTACCAATACGATGACTACAGTATATCTACTGAATAAAAACTCAGTCAGTGTCTGAATCATGAATTTATAATACTATTCCCAGCGAGCACAAAAACATCTCAGAGATGTTAAAAGTACGAGATTTCGAGACATTGAACCTTCACTGCGATGTTCTGTCCACACATGAATAAAACTATTATAGAACAGCCCAATGTCCGCCGCAGGCGGCAATTATCGAGATGTCCTTGATATTTCACAAAACTACCTTCTCCCTAGTTCTTTTTAAAGCCTTTTCATGGACACAACAAAACATTTTCAACGCGTCTTGCGCACATTAAATCGCTGTAAAAAAACCATTTTCGAGGTACTTTTCTGAAGCCTTTTGTCAAAATGAACTTTTGCATTAGGATTCCATTTCCTTTGAATGAAAAAATGCATTAAAAATAGATTGAACATAAAAATATTTTCTTGATATGAAATCACCTTCTCAATCGGTTTCTGAGTAGTGCTTACTACACACAGACATATAATTGGAAATATGTTCTCCACAATGCATAATTTTGCAACTGCGGAGAAGCTGTGTATTGATAAATTCGTACTATTATATAATGATTACACTGAGGCACCGAACAACACATCTTGCATCTGATGGTCATTATAACAAACTAAATAAGTCTTCTAACACAATAAAATTCACCAAATTCCTTTCTGTTCGTTAGCGTTAGCGTGATGTAAGTGTGACACGCTGCAAACGCGAATGCCAATTGCGAACAAGAAGAACAAAACCGAAAACAAATCAGAATTCATCGTATTGTGACGTAAGCATGAGACGTTGTGGTGGGGCAAACAAAGAAAGGGCACAAAAGAACAAAAACAATACTTTCAATATCCTTCTGAGACCTCTTTGGGAAGTGCATATAACGCCTCAAAAAAACATCCTCATGCCTACATTTCTAAAACATCCCAAAACATCCCAGGGATACCTCTCAGTAGGCAAACAAAGAAATGCCACAGAAGAACAAAAACAATACTTCAATATCCTTCAAAGACTTCTTTGGTCAGTGCATATTACGTCTCGAAATAACATCTTCATGCCAACATTTTCAAAACATCCCAAAACATCCCAGGGATGTTTGTGCTCGCTGGGTTGAAATCATCGGTTCCAATGAAAAACCCCTTGTAAGAATATCCTCAACAACTGATGTACTTAGCTGTTCTTTAAAACAATTCTAATATTGTTGATTTCTGTCAAGGAGGATTTATAGGGCGGTCGAGTGTATCAGGGCCAGGGCGAGATTGTTTTTGCGAGATATCTTGAAAAGTTATCAGAAATTCTCTCAATCCAGACCAAATCTTCCTTCCTTGCTATTCTTCTTAGAAAATCATAATAGATGCGAAATTATTATCAGAAATTCAAGAGATGAGAAGATATGCAGTGAAATTCGTTCTGTAAACAATCATTCATTGATTCTACTATGTATCTACTTTCTTGCAATGATCATGATAATCGGTAGTGACAAGAAAACATAAAAATGGTTCAAATTGTAACAATTTCAATATAATATATAGGTACTTCACAATCTATCGTGAGACAACTATTTGACTCCAATGCACTCGAACACCCTGTTCACCCAATGAACGGAACCATAATAGTTCTAGGAGGCGCAAAAAATATTATCAGTTTATTGGGTCTTCAAAAAACTGTGACACACTACTTCTCTAACAAATTTTGAAATTGTTTCCGAATATATATCATATAGTACTGGTTCATTCCCACTATTTGATGATTAATAAAACATCCAGAATCATCACCTCTGAACAATATCATCATATATATAACGTGATTATTGAGGCAAAATTCTATTCCCAGGAGTGATTAAGTAGCAGGCTCTTCGTAGTCAGATTCCAGACATATAACTATAGATAATTTTCAGTTCTGAAGGAAACTATCAAACTATAGGTGGTCATTCTGGAAGAAACGGTTGAAATTCTATGGAAAAACGTGAGACAAGGCTGGATTTTTCATTATACTGAACATTTCCAGGTTGAAGTTGGATCGGTGGTGAATTTTGAAGTCTTCATTTTGAATCCAATATAATTTATCGTAAACGTGGTTATTTTCGAAAGAGACATGAGTTTCGAATCTTCAATAAATGAGCCCGTGGAATAGATTTTGATGCGTTTCAGAGTGGAGACAGTCACTAGTTCCCACAATGACCAACCCGAGTAAATATACATATATATTGCCGTTATATTTCTTAATTTCGAATTTTTTTCATGTTTCATTTATTCTGTACATAGTATCAAACTCCTCAACTCCTCAATTTGCTACTTTCGTCTGTATCCACTAGCAAAAACTAGTCACATTATAAAAATCATATTCAGAATAATTCTCACCTAATTTGGGCAGAGGGTACTTGATATTGAAATAGTCAATGTAGTATTCTATAACTTTCTTTCCAACCTCTCCAGCATAGGTAGTTTTGTTAAGATTGTCTGGGCTCGCGTAAACCTTCAAAGGTATTATTTGTCCTTTATTATCGAACGAATTTTCTGTATGGGCAAAGTCCGAAACAATGAAGCAAGACAGATATGTTGACATTGAAACTGTCTCTTCAAAGCTAATCAGTTGATGAGTATCATCATAGTCTTCTGTTTTCTGAAAAAAGATGAATGACTTTTTATTACTCCGGAAGTTCATCCTGAAATAGCGATATCCATAGTCCAAGCGGGCTGCAAATTTAGACCATGTCATCACGAAATGATATGTCCCAGTGGCATGATGTGAAAATATTGTATTTTATCGAACTGCACCTGTGCCAATCACTATCCTGAGCAAAACTATCGAAACATTGCACTTTCCTTTGCGGTAATTTCCAGTTAACTTTCACGATTTGATAACGAGATAAAAATTATGACATCCAGTCCAATCCCTCAATCCACGGTCCATCGGATGTTATCTTTAGACAGGGGCGAAATATTGACCAACTTATTCGCAAAGGGGATTAGATCTCCTATTTGATTTTTCTTTCGAATCATTATCACATGACGGAAGTATGTACGGAATATCGGCAGCAAATGAATCGCTGTGCCGTGAATTTGACTCAGATTGAGGGGTGGCACAGGCAGGTTTTTGAGATCTGCCATTCAATTGATATCGGATGGCATGCGATTTTTAACTCGTTATCAAATCGCGAAATTGAGTGCCAATTATCGCACAGGAAACTGCAACATTTCAATCATTTTGATCAGGATAGTGATTGGTGATCAGGTGCCGTCCATATTTCAGTTTCACAGAACTAGAATGTATTGCTGTAGTGATGAAAACAATGTAGTATACACCTTGGCAGTAACGAATATTATTGTCATGGGACCTTATACCCCTCGGCTGAGGTCTCAGGATGAAATCTTGGTCTCTGGGTAATAATGATATTCTTCACTACCTTGGTGTATAAACAACTATTTACATGCCTTTGGAACATATAATATAGCATTATTTCGTTATCAGGAGGGTCGAAATTTGCAGGCGGCTCTCCCATTATCACTGAAGAATATGTACTTGATTCAATTGATGGTATAAGTATAGGTCACAAATTGAGATAAACTAAAAGTCATTACCACAATAGTCCATAAAATGAACGAGAATTGTAGATAACGAAAGAAAAACGACTACTTTCCTGACTATATGCTACGCAGAACATTGGATTACATCCCCCCGAAATCTATGCAATAATTCTTATGGACGAATAAAATCGCAAGTGTTTCCTTCCTAAACACCGTCTATTCAAATTATTGCATAGTTTTTGGGAGGATGTAGTCCAATGTTCTGTCCCATATAGCACTCGACGTCCTGGGGACATCCAGTTTAGGTCCATTCAGGTCTGAACGTCCGGGACCTTTTCTAGACGTACTGAAAACGTCCATTTCTGGACGTACTGGGTACGTACGATTCCGATGTACTGGGTACGTCCAACTCTGGACGTTATCGACTTTTTGTTTACGGGATTGAATAAATTGTTCAATGATAATCGAAATCATTGCATATATAATATCTACCCCCTCGATCTCTGGAATCTATTCATATAGGAACCTTGCACACATAAACATAATACAATGCTCACGATAAATTCATTATTTACTGGCCCCACCAGATCACAAAACATCTATTTAGGTTTTCTCTGCCGTGATTATCTAATTCTATAAAAGTATCAACGTGACGAATTCAAAATTTATCATTTAGAGCACAGAAGATATATCAATAGAATTGTATTTATTTATAAGTTATTGAATAGCTTAATTGATTGTGAGTACCTTTTATCTCGTATTATGTTGTTAGTACCTATGAATATACTTCGTCCCAGGCCTAATCTTTTTCATGTTCTCATAGCAAACCACTGCCTAATGGATAATATGCTCCAACTCTGTAATAAATACACTGGTATGATGCCTTTAGGTTTTTTCGATATCAAACTAGCCAAGTTTCGGAAAGAATTATTAAATATCTTCAAGTCGGTTCCTTGAGTTCAATTTTTTTTTCTCTTTTTTTGTAGCAAAGACGTTTTTGTTTCATCCTAATAATCTTAGTTTTAGCTGAAGCTATTTCGAAATCATAATAGCCCTTCAGATCAGTGATGACTTTTATTCTTATTAGTAATTTAGATTCAAGTTTGAATAAGGACACTTGTAATTAGGCATGAGCCTATTAGTTTTCTATTAATAAATAAATAAATAAATAAATAAATAAATAAATAAATGAGTCAATCGGCATTCGCACATTCATTCAAAATAAGACTTTCTACTTTATCTAAATCTCTTTTTTGACTATCTGAGTGAAAAGAGACGGATCTACGTTGATTCATGTATCCATGGTCCTGAATGGACGTACTGAGGATGTACAAACGCGCGAAATCTGGACGTCCCCAGTACGTACCTGAACGTCGACCGTACCAAATCTGGACGTCTCCAGTACGTACGAAACGTCTTGGCGTCTCAGTACGTTTTGGGGACGTACTCGTGCTATATGGGGCGTGGCATATAGCCATAGGAAAGTAGTTCTTTTTTTCTCGTTATCTACCATTTTCGTTCATTTCATGAACTATTGTGATAATGACTTTGAGTTTCTCTCTATTTGTGACCATTGCATTCCACTTTGAGTATTTGGCTTTTACCTAGATGAGTATGGAACACGAGTGCTTATTAAATTGTACTTGATGATTATGTTTTATACAGGGTGTATCTAAATAACACCGAAAAAATTCAAGGAGTGATTCCTTGCTCCGTTTTTGAGTTACAGGATGTTGAAGTGTGAAGTATCAATTGTTTTTATTCATAACCCCCTTGTGCCAAAATTCAGTAAGGTTAGACACTAAGGAAGTCCTAAAAGTTCGAAATGATTGAAATTGGGGTTATTGAGTAATCTAAATGGAAGTCTTGAAAACACCTACATTGAAATTTGGATTCACATTGAATTTTTTCAGTTTCCTCAAGAACTAAACTTGATACTAAAATCATACAGAGGATGAAAAAGTTGTTATTTCAATAGTTCGAACTAATAAACATTTGAAACTTGACATTCCCCATAAATATCGATAAATTTACCCACTGTGACGCCACTGGAAATATTATTTCGAACCTAATTGCACCAGAAGAAGCTCCATATTACTATTAACAAAGCCACAACGTTTTGATAAAATTGATGAAGAGACAATTGAGTGATGAATAAAAAACCGATTTTTCATGGAAATATTGATACCCTGTATCTCGAAAACGAAGCAAGTTAGGACACATGTTAATATGAACTTTATTTCCTAAAATATCACCTGGAATCACCCCTTGAATTTTTTCGGTGTTATCTAGATACACCCTGTATAATCAGATATTAGGCAGATAATATTTACTTACGCTGACTGGATAGTTAGAAAGAGCGATATATGAAGAATCTTTCGGCTTCAATAAGTGGACTTTATATTTGGCTTTCATATTCGGTTCATCGAAACATGGATACGCTTGTCTAGCATATGTAGGCTCAAATTTACTTGTTGCAATTTGCCTGTAAGCAAATATTTGTGGCCTTAAAACTTTATGTAACATCCAATTCCGTTAAGAATACCTATAGTAATGAAATTTGTCAACTGTGTTCCACCATTGAATATTTGAATTTGATAAATCTAGACTGAAGTCTTGGAGACTGCGGTTGAATATAGCTACTCATATAATATCTAGGAAAACAAATATGGTTTTTGGCAGCTATAAGTTGCCATCTTCAGTAGATCTGAAGGGAGATAATCATCAGTGAGAGTTGTAATTTCTAGAAAATATTTCTATAGGGTCTACTGATCTTTGATTTTTTTTCCTATTCTACTGAGGAAGGCAGCTCATTTCCCAAAATACGTATTCAGGATTTAAGAAACTTGTATGTATTATTTTGAGGATATTTTATAGTTGAGCAATGTGAATATGAGATATATCGGATGATACGATAGACAAAATGTAAAACGTGCGATATTATCATTTATTGGGATGAAATTATGAAATTCACAGGAGTGTTCAAACATTTTCTCATACCGAATATATTTCTCTATCCAACCATATGTCACAATGTGACCTTTATTTCTTGATTGACAGTTGAAGTGCATTTTATTGAAAGAGGTCTAGGTGAATGAAATTCATACTCTATAATCTTTCAATGATTAATAGCTATATGTGATCGAAATCAAAGTTTCTTGAGAGTATCCTCAAAAAAGTCTTGTTTCATGTTGTTGTTCAATCACATATTATCGAAATTGATGACGTCTAACATCCTATATTGTATATAGTTTATATTAATTTCAACTTCGTATGGGAGATATGGAAGTATGACGACATGGTGAACTAAAATTTATCGATCCAATCTTGAATTAGGTGGGTTGATATTATCGAATTTTGTTTCAAGTGGTGTCTGATAGGTATCTATTTCAATATCGCTAAAAAAATCATGTTTTGATACCTATAACAAATTCATGAAAATACGGGGAGCGACAATATCTTATTCCTATATGATCTATGACTAAGGGCGGTAAGATGATATAAAAAAAATGCAGAATGTCTCGTATAAGATGATTTCCATTCCTTTCAAACTATTCAATAGCCTAACATGAAATGAAGATAGACAAACAATTACTGAATGTATATTCTTTCATTTCGTTTCGTTTTTTCGTCTTCTATTTCCCATTTCATTTATCGCACCAATTTCGGAAACACTCAGTATAATCGAGTGCATTCCAAATCCGATGGATTTCAGTAATAGTATACTACTCAGCAGATGATCAATATCAAAATCAAGGAATATTGGCAAAATTGATGACAGTCTAGATAATTATGTCTAGATGTCTAGATATTCAATAGATATTTAATAACCACATTAGAGATTGTTAATTGAAATGCAAAAGAAACTCAAACAGTAGAATATATACATTATTAGTTCCTACCTATTCAATTAAATCGATCTGAATTCATTGATAGACGTTGCTATCGTGAATACTTTCTAAATCTATCAATTCCCGACTTTCGTTATTTCGGCTCCTCCACCAAAGATTACATAATGATTCAACATGCATGAGAGTACGCTATAATTTAATGCATTCATCGTTCTAAAAACGAAATTGATTACGGCAAGTATGAAGGAAGTTTCATGGCTCATGAAAATGAATAACGAAAGTGTAAATTGCAGTAATGTTTCGTAAAATTTGATCAATTATCAAAATAACGAGTTTCAGGAAATTCATTACAATTCCACTAAATGCTAACAATTTGAACTTATATGTCCTGTTATTCGGAACTCTGAAATTGGAGCATTTGTCTTTCATCATTTCCACATTTTTCAGTTCTTATAGTATACAGAAGACCTAAATATGTAACATTTATCTACCGCTGATTTTTGGATCTTCACAGCCTTAAAATCATTTCAATTATGTTTTATACGAATGGTATTCAATTTTAGTTGAAGTAAGTAAACTAGAACACAATGTTTGCTATATCAAGTAAAGATAGTTGAACCGGAGCTATTTCATATCGCAGGGGTTATATCGGATTATATGGTTATACCGGGTGTCCCAAGTTATCGTATACAAGCAATATTTCGCTTACTTGACAAGATAATTGAAAAATTCAAAAACTGCATTAAATGGCATTGAAGTACTTTCCTAATGACATATGACACTTTTTATTTTCAAATGGCACCCCCTGTCATTGAAAATTAAGTGTCATTCAATATGGAATATAACGATAGGGTATACTAGGTATTTTTTGTTGATTACAACAAGAATATCAAAATTTTTTGACTTGTTTCGAGTTACTTGATTATCATTGAAAAAATGAAAAATTGCCTCCGCTCATGTTTTTTGTTTCAAGAAGCCGATACTTTTCATGTTAAAATAATTTTGAACACTTTTGAACATTTTTAGTTCATTTTTTGATCCGCTAAAAGTTATTCCAGTTGAAATTGATGTTCATTGAATGTTGCTGTTTTTGTTATAATAATAAAAAAATACCAAGTGTTTGCTATCGTTGTATTCCTTATTGCATGACACACAATTTTCAATGACTATATACAGGGGAGCCATTTGAAAATAGAAAGTGGGGGATAGCTGCCACAGAACTGTCGAATGTAATAAAATTTTTTATATGTCATTAGGAAGGTACATACTTCAATGCCATTCAATGCAGTTTTTGAATTTTTCAATTACCTTCTCAAATGAGCGAGATATTGCCTGTATACGATAACTTGGACTACCCGGTATTTAGAATTGCAACCGCTACAACTGATGGGTGACAGTTGACGCACTAAACAAAAATATCCTTAGATCGACAAATTACCTACTAGTCGTACATGTGTTTCGGGCTCGATCAGAAAATTAAGGAAAGCTAAAAAAAAAAGAGTGCTCAAGTCATATTTTTTGCTAATATTGAGATAGCTAAATATTTTCATCTGGTCTGTGATCCCTGTACATGATAGCTATATATAGTTCAATCGGATTAATATTTGTTTTCAAGTGTATCAATACCTCCATGAGCTCAAAGTTCATTTTGAGTCTCTACTTTACCTAAAAAATCGAAATCAGCAAAAAATATGATTTTCAGGGGTAGTATGAGATATGATATATTGATATTTGAGTTGACTTTTCATCAAATGTGAAGTTCATTTCCCTTTTTTATTTTTCATTCTCACATCTTCTCTATGAATTAAGAAATTTATTCGCATTATAACGGTTGTACTTTCACTCACTTTCAGGATTTTGACCAAACGTATATCAAATACTATTCTCCAAACGTGAATTTTCAGCGTCAAAGCGTCTGATATTACCTCGAACCGCGCAATATATCGGACGACGTTTTGAAAAAAATTACTTTTGAAATTTTTTTTATGTGAATACCTATGTTCAGTTGGTTCTTGCTGTAGAATGCGAAAGTTAGCTTTGATTTCGTATAACATAAGAAATACAGGCATATGATATGAAAATATCGTCCGATATAGCCCCGGTTGATGATACTCGGAATAATGCCGTATAATAAAGAATAACTGAGTGTTTTCGCAATTGATGCGATAATTAAAATAGGGTGGTGTGGTGTGGTCTAGTAGACCACTGATGTTATGTAAAAGATTGTGCCTTGATACGAAATGATTTCATCATGAGGTATAAGTGTGATTTCAGGTATACATTGGTATCCTTGATGTGTCAAAAGTCTCCGAGATAGAAGGCTACGCCAAACATTTGGTAGCAATTTAAACGTCAAAAATTTTGCTCTGAAGTTTTCGATATAATATTTTGTAAGTGAAATCAAAAATAATCGGGAAAACTACGAAAAACTATTTCGAAGCAAGACGTTAAAATTGCTGCCAAATGTCTAGCGAAGCCTACTATCTACCGTGGGGAGTTTGGAGACGTTATTCAGGACAAGACACAAAATCACAAGAGGCAAATTTTTGCTCTAACAATACCACATCTTTTAACTGATAATATTGTACGTCTAGAACATCGCAAGAGCTATTGATATTACGGTGTTTCTGACTTCACCTGGAGCAAACGTTTTGGTTCGACCGTTTATCTCGGATCAATGATTCACAGAAGTTTTAGGCAGATTTTGGAAATGAATATATTTCAGAATAATTCATTTGGTTCATTCTTGGTCCTATGATAATCATTTCAAACATCGCTCTGATTTGAGCCACGCCATGTAAAATCATTATGAGAATAAATTAAGTAAGTCAATCTGAAATTCTGAAAAGAATCCATACCATAACGTCTCTCTTTGATGCTCATTATGTTATGAATCTATTCATTCAGTATACCTACCTCATTTCTCCGTCAGATTTCTTGTAGTGACTTCTGTAAAAACCACTGAGTTTACCAAACATTCTTCCTTCGAACTTGATGAATAAATAATAAACACCTGGCACGATTTTTTGCCTTGTAGTAATCACTAGAACCTCATCAGCTACATTTTCTTTTATAGTCAGAATCGGAAATGATACTAAATCACTCGTAACCAAGGAAACATCTGATATAGTCAAATTTTTGGAGTGTATAATAACATCTTTTCTGTGACTGGATACACTGATCGTTATATTCACTAATCCTTTGTACAATCCTTTTGGTAGATCAGGAAGGAGAGTCAAGTTGTAAAGCAAAGGTTCGGTATCCCTCGGGAGTCTTTTGTAACTTCTCTGTGGCTCAGAGAAAACATTTCTGTCGACACTTTTCGTGGTAACATTAGGGCTGTTATAGAGGATGTGTTTTCCAACAAAAACTAGGGCGGTGATTAGGCATCCACACACTATCAACAAAAATAAACAACAACTCACTAGACACGCCACAGTTTTGTTAGACTTTTTGCGCGTTTTCTCATCGTTGTTACATAGCGACATACTTCTAAGAGTTTATAGCGAATTTGAACATTTCACTTCGATATCAATTCGTAGTGATTGCCTATTGGTAGAGGTGGAATGCGGCATGCTGCTCGATAGTTAACGTTTCACAATCATTTGCTGACTCAGAATATATCAAATGTGATATTCTGCAGTGCCTTTACCTGTCGAGTAGCGGTAATTTTATTAATTTCTCGGTATAACACGGTGACAATGGCACAGTGTTCCGTTCAAAGACATATAAGTACGCAACAATGAGCGAACTGATGAAGGAGAAATAGAAACTGCCTCAGGTATATGGGTCATTATCAACCGTTCATGAGCCGAGAACGATTGATTAAAGCCTGAAAGGTGTCTTTTGAATATTTTGAGTCCTGAAGTATACAGGGCCGATTGCATTGAGACAGTATTACTATTTTTTCAACGGTAAGAAATAGGAAGTTTATTCAATTTGACAAAAGTAATGTGAACCTCTTCAATATGACATTTCGCAATTTGAAATGTCAGTCGTTCCTGAAATATTTCGGAAAAACTGAGAATAATTTATTCCGTTTTCATTCTTTTTTTTTTGTTAATATTAGAGGAAGGAATTTGAAATTTTGTGGACGAAATTAAATCAGTGATTCTCAGTTTCCTCAAAATATTTCAGGAACGGCTGACCTTTTTCCAAATTGCAAAATGGTCCAACTTGCTCAACTCTTGTCTAATTTGATCAACTTTCTCACCTTTTAGGAAATAGCAATACTGTCCCTATTAAATCGACAGAAGCCTGTATAATAATATATGTATGAGTACAACATAGTCTGAATCTGCAGTTTTCTTCCAATACCTATACAGGATATTTTCAAAGTTGAGTCATTCATTTTGACAGCATATAGAACTTGCCAAAAGAAGTCGATATACCAAAACTCACCTATCTAAAAGTTGGAAAATAAAAGGAATGAAAATTATTTTAAAAATGTTGGAACTAAAACTAATAAATACAGATCTTATCATCCACAGATTTTAATATTCTAAACCACTGCCATGTGAAAAAACAGTAGTTCTTAACTACTACAATTGCTTACCTAGGTATGGCAAAATTGTGTGTTTTTGCACGATTTTGAGCACCATTTTTAGTTTGACATTGACATTGGTACCAAGCGTTTATGAGTTACTTCTATTTATTTGATGTTTTGTACCAAAAATGACCCACGTTTATGGTAACAAAGAACTAGTGGACATATTACTAACATACGGAGAGTGCCAATAAAATGCAGCTGCAGCATGTCGTCTTTACGCGAAAAGGTTTCCTTTAACAAATCATTCGGCCCCACGGATGTTTACAAATTTAGTCATTAGACTTCGTGCTACAGGGCACTTACGAGAACAACGTGGTGGTCACGCTGGAAGACCTGCTCCACCTAAAATGGTACAAATTGGGGAAGATATTTTGGAAATGGTCGAAGATGACCCAACGATAAGTACTAGAGCCATAGCAGTTCAAGTCGATGTTTCTAACAGTAAAGTGTGAAAAACAATACGACAGCAACAACATTATCCCTATCAATATCAACGGGTACAAGCACTATACAACCTGAAGATCATCATAGGAGAGCTGAATTTTGCCAGTGTCTTTTAGGACAGGTGAACAAAAATGAAAATTTTACGCAAATAGTTTTAGTTACAGAGGAAGCCACATTTACACGAAATGGAATACACAATTTTCATTGAATGTTTGGGCTGGCATAGTCAATGGCATGCTCATCGGACCGTACTTTTTTCCACCTCGGTTAACCGGTGACATTTATTTCCATTTTTTACTTGAATATAAGGCAGCATAATGTGGTTTCTCCATGACGGAGCTCCACCGCATTTCAGAAGAGGAGTTCATAAATATTTGAATGACCGGTTTTTGAATAGATGGATAGGGCGGAATGGACTCCTTTCTTGGCCTGCACGCTATCCGGACCTATTGCCTTGCAACTTCTGTGGGGCTATTTGAAACAGTTGGTGTATCATGATGAAGACGTAAATACTGTAGTAGAACTTCAAGAGCGCATTGTAAATCAATCAATCAATTTATTCAATTCAATTCAGCTACGTACATATACATACATGTTCTTTTATATTGTTAATGTTACATATCGTAAATAAATAGTATCTTATTACATTAAATTGCGAAAGAAATTATTAATAACTAAATAAGTAAATAAGTGGTGGTGTTCAGTTCTTGGGAGACGCCTAAGCAGAGCTTGTGTTGCGTATTTTCCCAGATCTTGACACAACCATGAAGGTAAATAGAAAAAAAAATAAGATGAAGGAAACTATTTATTCATTTCAGTAAAAAATATGAATTAAAAATCAACAAAAATCAATGATCAACTCACAAGAGGATCGGACAAGACACTCAGGCAAAAGGGAGACAGCTTTAAATAAGATATTAATAAATTATTCGGACATGGTTCAGTAGATAGATTCCAGTGTTTGTTTTAGGGAATCGAAGTTGTGATCGACGAAGGATCTGATTGTTTTTTTGCGTTTTTTGAAGCTTTTTGTATTTCGTAGTTCAATGGGAACTTGATTGACAAGTTTTGGTCCAAAGAAAGTAACAAACCTTTGGGTATATACATTTTTACAAAAAGGAACACTAATTGTTCTCTCGGATATGGCTCGGGTGTCATGTATGTGTCTTAGATAATATGTAAGAGGCGAGTTCATCGTCCATAGTATACAGTGATAGGTGTATAATTTTCTGATATTAAATAAGCTAGCCTCCTTGTATAAGCTCTCAGTTGGATGTCTTCTGTCTCTTTTCAGTACTATTTTGTATTACTTGAAGATTATGTAAGTTTGTTTTATTCAACCCACCCCAAACAATAATACAGTACCTTATAACTGATTCTGCTAATGCATCGTATGTCATTAGTAATAAATTTTTATTTAGTTTGTCTCTGAGTTGGTAGAATTTGAAAATGAGTTTTCTAAGTCTTTTCACGAGAAAGTCTACATGTTTGTCCCAGCGTAAATGTTGGTCAAGCATCACACCCGGATATTTTATGGAATCCGTTTTTTTTATACGTGGACAGGAGCAAATTAAAGGATTTTGGCAGTTGGGGGTATTATGAAAATATTTTCCTCTAGTGGTTGGTCTCTTGTTGTTGGTGAGAAGGTCAAGAATTTGGTTTTATCGATGTTTAGACTCAGAAGACTAGAATTCAGCTAGGAAAATATATAAATACTTATGATGTTATTCGCGGACATTAGGATTATATATTTGAGGCTTGTCAAGAGGCGTGGGTGCGCCAAGCAAGACTTTGCATAAATCGGTCAAATGGTGATAATTTTGAACAATTTTTGTAAAAATTCAATACATTTTACCGATAATGAATGTTTTTAATTTTTTGAAAAATTATTGATAAATGGACCTATACCTCCCTTTATCACGCAACTTTTATTTAGGTGATTTTTGGCGTATCAATTTCTTTTGACGAGTTCTACATGCTGTTGAAATTAATGACCCAACTTTGAAAATACCCTGTATACTGAGAAAAAAGTTCATCAACTTCACTGACACTACTTCTGGTATACAGGGTGTGAACGAATGAGTGCGAAAAAAATTAGGAGGTGATTTCTTGTCATATTTCACGAGAACAAGTGCATCGCTAAATATTTGTCCCAACTTGTTTCATTTTCGAGATAGAGGGAATTTTGTGATATCTTCAGGAGATATCAAATATGACTGTTTAGGATCGAAACTGTTAACAAATAATTCAAATTGATGTACCCAACACAAAAGTGAGTATATATGTACCTAATTCCTAGAAACATTTTTTTTTTGGAATTGCATTACATCGTTGGTCCCAGCACTGGGACCAAACGCCCCATAAGTCGAAACTTGTGCGGGGTTAGGTAAGCATACAAACACAAACATCCATGGCCTCGATTCGAACCTATGTCTCGGTGGGAGTCCCCATACAAACTCAGCGCCTTCACGCTCTCGACCACCGAGCCGCCATATTGACACATATAAATTCTTGTTCTCTGTTAATGCCCGAAACGGTATTCAAATACCTTACTACTAGATAATCTACAATATAGGTATTTATACCAGATCAAACCAAGAAACAGGATCCCACCAGAGGTAGGCAGATTACTCGAAAAATGTTTCTACCCGGTAGGTGTCCATACATACTCCATAAAGTCCATGAAGTCGAAATTTCACTCACTGCGCAGGTATTGAGTATCGTTTTGAAGCTTTTTTTCGAACAAAATCGAATTATTGGAAGGAGAATTTCTGAGAGTCTAGCCAACTTGATATGTTCATCTGCATAACCTCTCACAACTCCAACTTTGCAGTTTCAAATGGAACTACCCACTTTTAACTCATTATTTTGACAAGCGTTTCATCGCGAAAACAATAGTGCGTTGTTTTTCTAAATCAGTTGAGATTTGACAGAATTATATTCACATTGAATTGGTGAAAGAGGTCACATGGAATGGCGTCCACTCAGTTTGAAACACTAGACGGTTTGCTCAAGACAATTGATGAGCATACCTATTGAACATTATAATGCTTCATTAGTTTTCAATTTCAAGTCGATGCATGAGTGTCGAATCTCAGCTGATTTTCAGAATCTATGCACCAATGTATTCAAAGGGGTTCAAAATGACGTGTTGAGAGTAGGTTAGTCTCGTTCGCGATATTTTGAAGTGGAGTTTCTAAGGGTTGAGGAAATGAACATAATCTAGTTGGCTTATTTGCTACAGGTCTCAGCGGATTCGAGGAACAAAATTCTGGATTCGAAGTGTAAATATTTTGTTTGTAGGCCCTGTACCTGAATCTCTAGTCTGTTTATCGAAACGACTCTGATACCTGAAACGTTACTGACCTATTGTCTTCATTTGCACTTTTGTAACTGCTGGTGTATAACCCAACGATCCTATTCTTCATATCACCTCTGAAATCTATTTGAAGGCGAGTGTTGCCTACATTGAAGAGGCTACTGTCAGGCTTAGTGATCGTCAGCAGCTCATAGGTGGGGTTCAATGTGTAACCTCCAATGACAGAGTCAATTTTAACCTCATCTATAGTCAACGAGTTGCTGTGGAGGTTAATGCTGTCCGTTTCTGAGAGGATCTTTACATCGACGTTGACTTTACCTAGAACAGGCGGAATATTGATATAAAATTACGAGAAATGTACACCGCATGATTTATATTCTCGCCATGATAAAAAGAAATACAACGGTTATTTCATGGTACGAGTGTGACTCAGTAAATACACTCTTCCAAGAGATTAACAAAAAGTAAAAAAGATTTGAATGATATATTATTTCTTTCTGAACATTGGTGTGGAAACTGTATTCGCATAAGAACCTCTTTTTTATGAATACCGGGTGTAACAATTATATCGAGTTTTTTCATGGAATTTGTAATATCCTGTGAAGTGTAACAGTTACGTTATCATGTTGAGATCGAAAGTACATTTTAGCCTTACCTTTTTCAAAATTCCTTTTTTGGATTCACTCTATTATCTGACCTATTTCTTCAGAAACACAATTTTATGGCATAACATGATTTTATTGAAATCAAAACACTAAAGTAGCAGGCTATATATGGTCTGGAAAGCCTTTCTTTGACTGGTCGCATGGAACATTTTTATATATTCAAATGCAACAGGTCAACACGAGTGCAATCGTATGACAACATTCAGAAATGTTCTGCATAGCTTGGAAAATTATTCGAAATGCAAGGAAATTCATGAGACTATAGTTGTTGATTTTCGAACGTATACAATTTTTTACTACACTGACATACAAAAACGATATGTAATTTTCGTCCTCAATATATAATGCATGTCTCAATGTATGTTTTGTCATTTTTCTCCTCAATGTATGATCTAGACTCTAGAGAGACATGAAGACCCATAGGGATTCCATTTTAAAAACTGAATTTCTGATCAAAATATGATGTGACTGAAATGATTCATCGATAAGTGACAAACATTTTATTTATTCATGGGGTAAAATAAAATAACAATTTAAATTTCAACATTTTCGAGAGATGACATTTGATATAGAGATTGAACTTGTTTTGATCAGTTGAACTAGAATAATTATGTTAAAATTTACAGGGTGTTCCATTTGAAGTTGATGGCATTTCCAGAATAATCGGAAGTCCACCATATTGGATTGTAATGTGATCCAATCCTGAATGGTTGCTTATATATGTCCAGCGTACATATATGTCTGTACCAAACATGCACCAAATTTCAGAATAATCCGTTCACGAATGCAGAATACAGGGGTGGCTCCAATACCCTGTGTCATCCGGCGGTATATCTATGAATCATATAGAGTGATCGATCCGTCTTGTTCGGCTTTAAAGTTTCCACTCCATATTCTTATTATTTGTTCAAAAACCAAAATGACGGACACACTTGAACTTGATCAAACCAAGAAACTCATCAGAACTTTTTTGATTTGCTCTGTATAAACCTATTGATGCTTATTCTTCGAATATTTTCATTCTCTTTCGTAATTTTTAGGAATCGAATTATTGAACATCACTTGTTGTATTGTTGATTATTGTATAAACACTGTTTCATGATTTTGTTCAATATGGTTCAGCACATGTACAGTGTGTCCAGTTTTCGATGCTTTTGCGTGATATCTCAGTCATCTTTCGAAATAGAACCTTGCGGTTTTCGCGGTCCTGTATCACTTTTCTGTGAAACTCAAGATGGCCTGATCAGATTTTGCATAACTGTTTGCGTTTATGAGATACAGGGCGATTTTGAAAATTTATACTTTTTGGACCCCCTCTATATCTACGAAGTTTCTCAGCGAAAATGTCAAATTGGAATCTCTTCCCATACAGAATTTTGCGCAGAATTCAGTGGCGCACTCAAATTTTTTTTTTCTGGGTATAGTTTCGGAGATACGACTCAAACTTATGATTTTTTAAATGGAACACCCTGTATTTTATAAGCTCATTAAATTCCTTATTTTTCCCCATCAAAATGAAATATGATGAATAGGTATAAAATTTTCAAAAATGCTCCAAAATCACTAAAACATTGAATTTTAATTATGGGCTATGGATTTTTCATTTAAAAAAAGTTCCAATTGAAGGAATATTTCATTTGATTCTTCCATGAAAAGGACAAAAACAATCCCAACACTAGTTGATTAAGATAACACAAAAATTAGGTACCTGATAACAACAAATGAATGGTAATAAAAAGTTCATATTCTAGAATAAGCACCTGATTTAATATTCACTAAGACAATTGAATAGTAACTTATTCATTGAATTGTTCAAATTGATGTCCACTTTCCCTCACACGCTTTCTCAATACGTCTTAATGCATTCAAAATCATTGAAGGATGTCTTTGTAATTCCTGGAAAACTGCCTCTGTTGTTGCACGAAGTTCTTCAAGATATTTGTGACTCTTACTGTATCAAGACGTATTGAGAAACTGTGTCAATTGTGTGTTATGGGAAATGGACATCAATTTGAACAATTCAGTGAATAAGGTATTGAATAATTCCGAAATTAAATTGTATTTGTAAATATTTGATCTGGTGTTTATTCTACATTATGAACTTTTTATTACTATTTATTTGTTGCTATCAGATACATAATTTTTGTGTTTTCTTAGTTAATTAGTGTTGGTATTGTTTTTGTCCTCTTTATGGAAAAATCAAAATGAATATTCCTTCAATTGGAACTTTTTTATAAGAAAAAACCATAGCCCACTATTAAAATTCAATGTTTCAGTGATTTTAGAGCATTTTTGGAAATTTTATATACATACATTATAAATCATTTTGAAGAGAAAAAAATCAGGAATTTTATGAGCTTATAAAATACAGGGTGTTCCATTTAAAAAATCATAAGTTTGAGTCGTATCTCCAAAACCATACCCCGAAAAAAAAAATTGAGTGCGCCACTGGATTCTGCGTTAACTTCTATATGGGATGAGATTTTGATTTGACATTTTTGCTGAGAAACTTCGTAGATATAGAGGGGGTCCAAAAAGTATAAATTTTCAAAATCGTCCTGTATCTCATAAACGGAAACAGTTATGCAAAATCTGATTAGGCCATCTTGAGTTTCACAAAAAAGTGGCACACGACCGCGAAACCCGCAAGGTTCTATCTCCAAAGATAACTGAGATATCCCACAAAAGCATCGAAAACTGGACACACTGTACATATATACAGGCCAGGTAGCCGCGTGGTTGAAGCGTCAGTATATTCTATTCACGATGGATTTCCGGTTGGTGGGTTCGATTACCACGACAACAGAATTTTTCCGATGGCCTAAGGAAGTGTCTGGGATCTTACATCAGGAGGTAAAGCCCCTGTCATTCCTTGCTCGCACAGGTCTCTTGAAGACTTCTGAGGCTTGCTTGTAAGGGGGCAACAAGATGACGGAAAAAAACAATTCAAGAACAATTTTGAAATAATTTGAAGTGAACTGTTTCAATCAATTTGCTTTGTGACGATATTCCAGTAGCATTTCTGATACCGACCTTAGCCCGACTACGCATCTTTTGAGCCCTCTGATTCAATTTTGTTCAAATGGAGTAGCAGGGATTTTAGTTTTTTCCTCTCTGATTTCTATGATACTGGATTCTGCATATTCATAAACATCGGAATTTTCTACACAAAAAAGGTAATAATTGTCAAAAGCTCTTACTTGAACAGTTCCAGAGGAAAACATCACTTTACAATAAAACACACATGAAGAAAATAGCGAATTTGATCATATCTGCTTCAACGCATTTTGGCATCATGGCATATATTGAACGATTACTTTTCCATCATTGAGACCAATGACTTATGGGACACCATGTATAAATTGAAATGAAAGCAGCATATATTCACGTACAGAAGCTGAGTTCTACATCTCGGACGATTCATGAAAAAACAAGAATTTTTTTTATAGAATTAGTCATCGAATCCCAGTCATTTGTTTTTCGAAAAATGTTTTGAAGCAGAGCCTATATATATTTGTAGATACATTTCATATGAATCCATAAATCAGTGTCAACAGTCCCGAAGTGGAATAATCAACAATACAACCCACTCTTGAAATTGATACGACTCTGTTATCAAATTGATGCAAGTTGTACGCTGGTATATATAGGTAACTTTTGATGAAATGGTTTATTTGGACGATATCCAAGAGGTGACTCACACTTGAAACCACACTGTATATAATCAATCGAGTAATCAATTAAACCAGTAGGATTGAAAGGTCCTAACGAGATGGACCATCTAATAATTATTCAAATTATTTCATGTGACATTATGGACCAAACTTCAGCATAATTATAAGTACCTGTAAACAGTCCAGTTGTTAAGTTGGGATACAAATACAAATCGTACACCAACGGGATCACATTCCTTGGAAGCCTATACTTAGACATCGTGTTCGGCGATTTTGTAGTACTACGTCTCAAGTTCGTATTATCCACTCCAAGAATTGTAGTCGAAATGCCCAATGCGGTTGTAGCTACAATTAGAAACGTAAGCAACTTATGCTGTAATAGCCAGCCAGACAAACTCATGATGAATAGTTCGTTAAACGGTCACAATGATACTGAGCACAATGATTAGCAGTGATTAAGGATATGTAGGTACTGGCTTACAAGGATTTTATTATTTACTAGCTTATTAGTGTATCTTAACGATGCTATCTTCTGGGCTTAGTCCGATTTCATCAGATAAGTACCTACGGATTTTCAATTATTATGCATAAATAGATTATATTGTATTATAAACAATGTGTTGTAAGTCGGTAATCGAATGATATTTCATAAAGATAATATCGATTTTGTAGTTTTCAACCTTCCTAAATCAACATCAACAATCATCAGCTGATCAGTTTTCATATAATGTGACTGTCAATCTATCTCTACTAAAATGAGATTCGCGGTAACCTGATGTTGCGATGACATTAAAAACTACGGAAAAACATTCTTAACTCCTGGCTTACATTGAAAGTTAGACATATTTTCCCGTAGTTTTTATATCATCGCAATGTCAGATGATGACCTTGGCTACCGCGAATAATCACGAATTTTCAATTATAAAGGGTGTCCCACACGTAATGGATCAAAAGAAGTGGGGTGGTAGGGGGGTCATTTCCAATCAAACTAACCGTAAATGGTATATGTATAGTTATCCAATTGTTGATGGTTCAACAATTTCAAATGTTTTTTCATTTCTATAAAAATAATCAATTACAATAAAACTAAGTCACATTTATGATTTTTTCTTTCACGAATTTCATCCACATGGATGTACCTTTCCCCAGAAATAATTTTATGACATGTATTACTTCTTATCAATTACCTGAGAAAATTGTTGTTTTCCTTGAGTTTTGTCATCGAATGAAGTATGAAGGTCGATTTTTTAATGCCGCTGGCAGATTTAAAAACTGCCCCTTAAAGATAAACAATCATAGAAAGAATTGCTCATTTAATATAGATTCGGAAATGCCTATAACATATGGGGTTATTCAGAAAAGCCTTTTTGTTATTTTTGTCAAAAGGGTCGCATTTTTCAGAACAATTGGATAACTTTTGAACCATCTACGATTTGATAACAACATATATCGTTAGTTTGATTACAAATGACCCCCCTACCACCCCACTTCTTTTGATCCATTATTTATGGAACACCCTGTATAAATACATAATATTAGTCGGATCAAATGGTACTTTTTTGGTAACATGAGTGCGGTAGAAGGTTTCTCAAGCTTTCTGAAGTTTGCTGCCTCGTAGAAGTACCAGTTGAAGTTTAAAAAATGCGAACAAACTTCGAAGTTTCCAGAGTTTCTCCGGTTTTCCGCGCATATCTTGCAAGGTTTCCCAAGCCTTCTGAAGTTTACTACTTCGTAGAAGTACCAGTTCAGGCCGAAAAATGCGAAAAACTTCGAAGTTTCCAGAGTTTTTTCTGTTTTCCGCGCATATCCTTCAAAAGACGCATTGTACAAAAGATGTCACTTTATTCAATGTTGAGAAGCATGCAATGCTGCGTCTAATAACTTACCTAACTTCCAGATTTATAAGGTCGCCATCGTCATTCGAAATGGGCTAATTTTCACCATCTTTTGTGAAAATCATGATACACTCACTATCAAACGACTGTGATTTTGAACTCTATGCGATTAATCATGAGTTTTCAACTATGGAAATACATAATATAAGTCTGATCAAATGGTACTTTTTCGTTAACATGAGTGCGGTAGAAGGTTTCTCAAGCTGTCTGAAGTTAGATGCCTCGTAGAAGTACCAGTTCAGGTTGAAAAATCCGAAAAACTTCGAAGTTTCCAGAGTTCTTTCGGTTTTCCGCGCATATCTTGCAAAATACGCATTGTACAAAAGATGTCACTTCATTCAATGTTGGGGAGCATGAAATTCTGCGTCTAATAACTTACCTAACTTCCTAACTTCCTGTTGGAAGACTTGGAAGACTAGTTTCTATAGTTTCTATCAATATTAGTAGTTTCCATAGATATTGTATATGATAAGTTTCCATAGATATTCAATAATATATATTTGATGTTGTTATAGAAAATGAAAAAAAAAGGGATTGAAAAATAATAAACAACGATTGAAATTAACATCCATCACAAATCACAATCAATTTTGCGTTTTGGTGAATTGCCTATGCAAATCTAGAATAAACAAGGGCAGAAGCCCAACACTTCCTAACTTCCAGATTTATAAGTTCGACATCGTCATTCAAAACGTACACCATGTTAAATGACTGATGTGATTCCAAAACATCCACTCTATGTGGAAAATGGTAGAATTAAAGTGATGAAGCATCGAATTCCGAGAACAGTGAGCACCGAAATTTCAAATTTGGATCGATATAATATCATTATCGAAGGATCGAACTTTTCATCCCGAATAATGTAATTATTTAACCAACTCTTGGTACAACATAAACAAGTAAAACAAAATACTAATATTAACGAGTGGGCGTTTGACTCAGGTATCGATGATTCAACTGAACTGAATTGCGTCTATATAGTATCTTATTGTGACTGACAACGAATCGTTGCCGGATGTTGCTAACACGCCCATCCTGACGAAATGTTCTCTCCCGAAGATTTCCAAAAAAAATATCCTAATCAGCAACAGGACTGCATCAAGTTCAACTGAATTGAAAGACACCAAAAGAATATCGTATTATCTATTCCATTTTTTGTACTGTTCAAGTGATACCTCAGCAATCACTCCGACTCTACCACTGACGGAACAGAGATCATAGATCTAAATACACACGAGATATATTATCTCAATGATATCAGTAATATAAGATCCCACACTAGTGAGACCGTAGCCATCACTCCGAGTCTACCGCTAACAGGAGAGATATACCGATCATAAAGTCACTTACAATGACGACCATTCTGGCCTGATTTGAGTTTCAATTTTCAAAAAAAACTTATGGTTCTATGGTTCTGATAGTATCTTTCGACTTGGACTTGACCATTCTCACGATATACATAAGGAGTGACTTAGTGGTATTCGATATGCCACTGAACCAAATATTCAGGAAATGTTTTAGAAAGACTTGTAGCAAATATTTGGTTCAGTGGCATATCGAATACAACAATTCCACCCACTTGGTATCCTCAGTGAGATTACCTATATAAAGGGCTTAGCCCTCACATTCTCAGGCCAACACCAGCAAACTCTGTCTCACTCGGAGGAGTTTATCTATTCTTTTTATTCATAAAATGTGTGTGATTTCATGTGTTGAAAATATTATTCCTTCCTTCTCTTTCAATACACTAGGAATATTCTCAGAATATTTAAAACAGTACAATGTTCATAAAATATACCCAGAATATTTGTATTATATTTTGAGAATATTCTGAGAATTTTCAAATATTCTCGAGAATATTCTCGAAGATGCATCTAGACTTTTCATATTTTCAAACACCGTACATATAAGTTTCTCACATCATCACTGGTGCTGCCATCTATGCCGCAGAGGTGGAAGGGTGGAACCAGCATAGTAGGAAGGATCAATGCGGAATATAGTCAAGCGATTTCTGTCGAGCATTTTGTGAGCATGAAGGAGATGGCAGTTGAATGTAGAAGAGCGGAGATTATAGATTCCCTATAATCTCCGAGAAGAGCCACACTGTAGAAATTGAAAGTTGTGTCAAGAATCCACATCAACCGTAGGCATGTACAGGCGATCAGTTAGACAAATCAGAAGGATCTCTGTCTGAAGATAGTTTAACGATTGGAGCTAGAGATGGTATAGATACCAACTTTTTTTTACAATAATATTTCCACTGTTTTCTTTTCCATCTACGACTGGACCGCACAAAAAACACCCCAAGATATTTTTGGAATATCGTGCGGACCTCTGTGAGGTATATGCTATGTTATTTGCAGGATCACCAAGATTGACCTCATAAAATATGAGGAAATAAGGAATAATTACACTACTTACACACTATATTTTACCACTAACCAAATCGATCATTTTACGCCTCGACACGTATTTCGCTAACTACCTATGCTAGCATCTTCAGGAAAAGGTTAAAATAGTTTCAACCTTCTCCTGAAGATGCTATCATAATTTGCGAAACACGTGTCGTAGCGTAAAATAATCGGTTTGGTTACTTACTGGTTAAACAGTGTGAAGTGTATTCTCGTGCCAAAGGTTACAGTCTTCAATATATGGAAAATTACGAGAAAATTATTAATATACCTATTGTATGTTCACGATCAGATAAGGGGGATATTTATATGTTCCTCTCTTATTTTTGATAATCTATTTCTTTATAGATCGCCTCAAACTGACTTGCTCACAAAAGCTTCGAATTTTCCGCTTTGGCTTAAATCCATCTGATTGGTCGGTACCGTTCCTACTTTGCTATGGTGGATGTGAATTCTTGTAGAATGGTTGGTGTTTGTTTTGTTGTGAGATGATTGATGACTACAATAATGTAATCATTATCGACTTTTCATTTTACATACATATTGTTTTGTAAAAATAAGAGGGTTTGTATGATATAAAAACAACATTGGAATGGTGATCAATTAGGTAGGTAGGTATGCATAAGATACATGTCATGAGAAACTATATAGGTATGTCACTGATTACTAAAAATAACCTATACAATATATTTATCTAAGGAAACTGTAGAATGTAGTAAAATCTATAACTCACTATTCAATTTCCAGAATCAAAGAAAACTATACACTGTCACCAATATTTTATACTTTGAGGTTATATCTTGTATCCACAGATATCTATATCCGTTTATCGGATATCTCATGCACTCTGAACAGTGGCGGCTCGTGAATATCTGATGAGAAGGTATTTACCACAAAAAATTTCAGTTGAAAACCGCACTAAGTTGTATTCTTCATTTGAAGTTGTTTTGCATAGGATTTACCAACATACAGGTACCTATACCTTCTCCACTAAGCCTATCTACTAAATAATACTAGAAGAACAATTTGAATAAGTCAAGGAAGTATATATACTGAATTATATATAAGGATATATAACTTTTTGATTATTCCTTTTTTTGTCGATTTGAGCCCCATCTTCCCATCCGAAAATATCATTGATGTCAACCTCCGAATAT